GCTGAATTATTTATATCTTGAAATTTCGATAACATCGCTAACCAACTTGAATTCAATACTTTTTTGCATAAAACAAAAACAAACAAAAGAAAATATTATGCTCATCAATGATGAGTTCAATTTTTAATGGAGTTATCTCACCATTTAATAAAAAAATTAACTGATCAGTATGTATATCAATTTATTACTTGGTCAAAAAAGGATTATTTACATTAATCAGCTGTACAATGATATATTAAGAGATAGAAGAGATATTGTTGAAGTTTTGTCATTGCACATCCAAATAACAATAATTTTCACGTCATTATTTCTACGGAAACAGTTAACAATTTATTCCTTCTATTAACACTGAGAACTGTGGTACAGGAGAATTTATAATTGTAAATACTGTAGCTTACAAAATATATTTAATAATTTGTACGTTCTTTGGTACACACATAAAATAATGAAAAAACCCACATGTGTGAATAAATAAATTTAGAGAAATATTTAGATCATTTGTGGATGTTGCTTTGATATTTAAAAAAATATATTACAATGACTTTTTCGACATATACATCAACCACTCAAAATAGATGTAATTCTTTAAATATTTTTATATCAAATATCTGTCAAGAATGACCATGTTTTCTGGTCTTCTTATGTCATTTCAGGTTTTTGGAACTGCCTTTAACCATGACAGACTGTAACTCTGAAATTAATCACATAAACTCTCCAAATTGAAAATATCTTCCTCATGCGACCCTTTGTTCTCACTATTTTTCAAAGACACACTTAGAATTCCAGGAAATGATAAAGCATGTCAACAGTGAAAGTGTTTTTCAAGTTATAATCATAAAGTATCTTCGGAGTTTTTCATCATGACCCAATAACTGCAGACAGAATCAAACCACATCTAAAAGATAACCTCGACACCTGGCGAGTACAGGCTTGCCACTGCATCAAGAATTCCAAAATATCATTAATATCAAAAAGAAGAAGTTGTGTTAAAAGAATAACAGAACCTGACTTTCAATTTTTAATATTTAACTGAGATGATGAAAACATGAATTCTTGTCAAGAATTTCGAAAAAAAATAAAATTTTATAGAAAGCATTTATAAAAGCATATGTAAAAAGATCACTCATCTATCCCAAAAAGTTGGATACCAGTCAACCAAGTTCCTTAATTTTTGATTTGAGGATAACAGGCTATCTTTTTTTACATTAGTTCATTAAACTGAGCGATCTTACTGGAGAATTTTTGAAATTATTACACAATTATTTGCCAAGTTATTAACATAAATGTAATTTTCATATTTGGGCACTTCTCATAGTCAATATTAATGACATATTAAAAGATGAAAAAAATGGAGACCTAAATATACAATCAGGATAACAACTCTACTGCAAAATTCTGAAGTAGTAATAAGTCAATCATTTAATTCCATTCCATGAAAAACTCCTATAACAAGAAGTATCACAGGTGAATTATATACTCATGTCTTTGGAATCCCTAAGCATACAACCTTTGTAGGGCTGTGTTAGGCTGGGAGGAAACTGCTTATGATGACAGTAAATACACAGTACTTCAAGATACCTTGCAAAAGAACAGGCAACTAGTGGCACAATACACTGTGCATGTCATGTGCGAAAATGAGAAACAGATTAAATATTTTCAAGACATATTTGTAAAGAAAGAAATGTTAAAACAGGTCAATTTTTCTATCATAACCTCAACTGTCATAACTCCTCTCTCACCTCTTGGTGACCATCACCCTTTGAATTTGAATAGAGAAAGTACTAAGTGTGATCTGTTCTGTTTAAAATCTGTTTTTCCGTTAATCAGCTGTCGCCCCCATACGAACGACAACTCTCAAAAGTTGAGAACTTGTGCGAGCTAGGGACTAACGAGGTCTTACCTTTTAAGTGTGATTCCTAACACAGTTGCAGAATCATCCCAGCTTCAAACAGATAAATTCTCTCTAGAAAAATATTTGGTCGAAGCGGGAATCGAACCCACGGTCTTCCGATCGTGAGTCGGGCGCACTACCACCGCGGCCAATTCCACAACACTGTTGATACTTTGAAAAGGTACCTTTATAAGAGATTCATCCAGATGATTGTTCACTACGTAACTTTTCATTTTGACGCTCTTTTAAGTCAATTATCCAAATCGGTGCATAGGCATAGGTTCCTTAGAAGAGCCCACTAGATTACATGATATGATGACTCAAGATGCTTTTGAGAAGATATGTGACACTCGAAGTATACGATAGACAACTGCATTTCATTTCAGAACTCATGGATAGAAAAAGAGGTGCTTATAAATGAATTGGCTTTGTTAATAGGCTTCATTATTGTCAGGAATGAACTGAAATAATCTAGAGTAAGTTTTGAATACTATTTTTATGAAAATTAAGATACTTTTCAATTTAAGTAACACATTGTGAGATTTTCACTGAATAGTTTACAAAATTGCAACACGTGTTTTACTATACAACACCTTCCTCAGGCGTGTTCATAATGACAACACTAATACGTTATGGATTTTCATCAAGTATCGGCCAATTCCATCACATATTTAACGTAAATTTCATTAGTTTGGACTTCCATTGTCTGACATTATATAAAATAATTTGAAATCCCTGAAAGAACCAATAAAAAAAGAAGAATTTAAAACGATTAGCTGAAAATTACAATTATATTAAGCAAAAAAAAAACGTGAAATGAAATAATAGGGAAATAAAATACAAATAAAAATAGAGCAATTGAACGAAAAATAAAAATAAAAAGTTGAGATATTCCAGGCCAAGTTACTTCACGACGTTTCGATTGTGTATAATAACAATTGTTCTATCTTTAATTGTATTTTATTTCACTATTATTTTATTTTAGGTTTTCTTTTGCTTAATATAATTGTTATTTTCAGATAGTCATTTTTAATTCTTCTTTTTTATTGGTTCTTTCAGGGATTTCAAATCATTTTATACAATATCAGACAATGGAAGACCGAACTAATGAAATTTATCATGAAACATTGCCAATCACCTTCAAAGTAACATATTTATCATTTGTTTGCAGGTTTTCAAAACAGATATAAAACTGCTTATCACTCACAAGGTATTACAAGATACGCCTATTTGAATAAAAAATTAAAATAGTGTTGGAAAAATAAAAAGTATTTTGAAGTTCTCTGTACTTGTTGATTTCGATATGTGTGTCACTTGTGCATGTCAATGTTTACACTTCTTGTCATAGTCATTAAAACAGTTTTCAAACTTCTTTAAGTTTTCAAGTATAAATACTAAAAATATCATTTGATATATGATACACTCAATTACGCATATTTTGTATCGTTATTCCATTTCATTAATCTCTCTTGGTTCCATACTTATTCTTGAACTAACCAATTTTTTATCTGCTTGAGTGCTGTCATCATTTATAACTTTTATAGAATGGATTATTCACCTTTTTGTTTTATTGACCTTCTACAAATATATTGAAGTTACTTGATCTAGTGGAATGAAATATGTCGTAATTTGATTCTCCGTAGGTGCTTCGAGGCCCAAACTACCAAAAACACGAGGCTAATGGCAATACCAGTTGATAACAAAAAAAATCAATCTGATAATGTTCAATATCAGTTGCACGAGAAAAAATTAAAGATGAAAAAGGGAACCCATTTATAAAATTAGAGATACCGGAGATAAGAGAGTGACTTTTACTAATGTACACTATCATCTGGAAAACGGTTTTTCTAAATATTAGATCTATTTTATATTGGTAGATGTTATCCTCATTGGAATAATTTTGTTTAAGGCAATTCTAAAGTATGTAAATCAACCAAAATGTTGAGAGGCATCTTAAAAAAAATTGTGTTATTTTAAATACACTTTTTATGAGCAAGATGAACTATAATTATGTTTGATTATGTACATCATTTTTCAATTGAAAACACTTTTCTCGCATCAGAACAAAAGTACTGAGTCTTGACACGTGTTTGGCTAACCAAGTTAGCATCATCAGATGACTAAAACTTAAATCTTATAGTTGTGCTATAGAATTCATATCCATCTGGATGAATCATCACCTCATATCATTAAATTAATCCCTATTATTACTTTGATATTTTATTGTATTCTAAGGTTTCTCTTCAAACATCCCTTTGTTTACTATCTAATGTAATAATTACGAATAGAAAACAGGTATATTAGGGGTAACAGGTAGTCATTTACATATAAATTAGGACTTATAGTACAATGACAAAATAACACAATCAGTACTAGGAATTAATTTAATTATGTGAGGTTTTGGTTCCTCCAGATGCACAAAAGCTTATTAGTTATGAAATTTAGTTTTATCATCTGATGATGATAATTTGGTTATCAAAACACGTGTTGAGGTTTTCACTAAATAGTTTACAAACCCACAACACGTGTTTCACTATACAATCGCTTCCTGAGGTGTTCTGATGTGGGAAAAGTGTTTTAAATAGATTAAATTTATGTTAGAGGCTCCAATTCTATTTAACAAGTGCAGTATTTTTTGGTTTGACTGAAAAATTTTGATGAAAAAGTCAGAAGAAGGTACAGAAAATATTATCTTACTGCTACTTTTGTGGACAGTAAGAAATAAACACCATTTAAATGAAAAATCATCTCACATAATTTAACAAATGAAGTAGACTTTTGTCAAAAAATATTTTTCAGGCTTCCTATTTCTTGAATAATATATAAATGATGAGAAAAGTCTCAAACAAAAATAAACATGAAAAATAAGTACATTGACATATGAGACATAAATAGTGTCTCTATGTAATTCAATGTTCAAAAAGAAAAGGAATTGTTTCAGATGGACTTTTCTTCCTGTTTGAGTATTAAAAGAACATCTGAGTATCACTGACATATTTCTACACAGTTTTTCTTGGCAGTTAATATTTTTTTCTGTCTCTGGGAGTTTCCGTTCTTGAATATTAATAGAGATATAAAAGCAAAAAAAGTATTTTTCACAAAATGAATGTTTCCCAAATATACATCTTTTATTTAAATTACATTATGTGAACATATTATTGATAGTGGAGCATGTAAATGTGTTTATCTTGGTGACATCACTAGATATTGAAAGTTATATAGTTACTAAATTAAACGAGATCATGAGGTATCAAAAATAAAAGAATGTGCAATGAACGTAACTCCATAGTTCTAATCAGTCAACAATAGATTTTTAAGAACATATTGAGCACCAAATTTATCACATATCACGTTAGGCGACATCTGTCATGGTTTTATAGAATAAGAAACAGAGAAACACTTGAGCCAACCACTCATATTCACAACATGTTGAGAGACCATTCACTCAAATATACGATATTCAAAATGAATAAGTAAAACAGATGACTGAATGGTCATTATTACAAACTTCCTAAACGCTTTGCCTTGATTCTATTCTTCTGCATATCCATGAAGCACATTACCAAATGTTAAAATTCCCTGTGGACTTAAAATTGGTTCCTATGGCACTCTTTGGATCAGGAGCAAAGGAACTCCAGTTAGTTTTCACACAAGCACTAATAGTCTCACCACAAATATCAACAGAAGCAGATACCACCGCACACATCTTTTCCATCTGGAAAAACTTAGATTGGAGTTTATCAATCCATTCTGTCAAAAAGTGTTCCCTATTTTTTGAATCAGATATGCTCGAAACTTCCAATTGTCTTTTCTTGGAATTGACTGAAAGGAATTTTTCAAAAGGGCCCTTAAATTTTTTAACTAGTATTGAGCCATTATTCGCCAAGTTGATCTGCCGTTCCCTGAAGAGAGAACCGGAATAAAACTCCAACGGGGTTATGAGGAATTTTGTTTCCATTATCAAAATATCCTTGTGTATCACCTTGACTTCCCATATGCCTAAAATTGAAACATTCATTAACTTTTTTGCACGATTAAACACACTGAAAAATACAAAATCGTAATCATCTCAATCTCCATACTACCATTTGAAAATTTATAAGACAATATTAGATTGCATATTTTAACTTGTTTAAAATTACGGAATACTGTGTTAATGTTTTAGTATATACTTTAAGGTAGTATATGTTTTATTGTCGCTCATTGTTTTTTGTCATTTTATACTCTAAAATTAACCCCTTTTAAACTTTAAATTTACCCCTTTTAATTCAGTACCTTATCTGATTTTATTTTAATTATAATTTAACATTGTAATTTACACTTTAAATAAATGGGCTTGCCCGTAAATGAATAAATAAATAAATAAATAAAAATAACTCTGGAGCTGGTTAGATAACTTCTCAGTTGAAAATGTATCCAGAAAATTAAATAATTGATGTGATATAATAATTACTGTTCTAAACATCCTATTAAAAAGGAAACTAAAACATCCTTTCCAGAAGAAGATTATATAAGCGAACTACAGGAACGACAAAAAAGGAAAAAAATGTTATGATCTTTAACATGCCTGAGTTGCCGAACAATTCTTCCCATGACCTTAATGAAGTAAAGAATATCTTTTCTAAAATAACACAAAAAAACTTGAACATTATCAATGCAGTGAGAATCGGCAAAAAGAACAAAAATGTCTTCCGTGCACTTAAAGTCATTCTTAGTAACTCTGATGATGCTGATTCAATCATCAGAGCAAAAAAGGATGCATTGAGAGGTCAACATATATCAATCAATGCCGACTTGACTCGACTTCAAGTCAATTATTGGAAGAAATTGAAAGAAGAATTGGAAAGGAGAAAAAATGAGGGAGAAAATGTGATCATAAGATACTTCAATGGTGTTCCCCAAATTACTCAACAAATTGTAAAAAAGTAGTGCACAATCATATAAGTTACTATTATCAAAATGTTGGTGGCTTAAGAACTAAACTACTAGAATTGCAGCAGGCAGTTATGTCTTTTCATTACGATGTCATTGTGTTTGTGGAAACGTTGCTAACAAAAGACTATCAAAATTCTGAATTGGGGTTAAAAGGATATGACATTTTTCGACAAGACAGAGACTCAACCGGGCCATCGAAATCTAGAGGTGGTGGTGTTTTAATTGCAACTAGAAGCTCATTATCCGCAAATCATATTGAAGGAACTTTGAATAATATTGAACAAATTTTTGTCAGGATGTCATTGGGGAAAGAATACATAATTATTGGTGCTGTATATATACCTCCAGTTTCAGATATTGAAATATACAACAACCATGTTGATACTGTTGACAATGTTATGAGTTCTTTCCCGAATCACAAAATGATACTCTGTGGAGATTATAATATTCCAAATGCTATATGGTTTAATGATGAACTTGGATTGAATGTCGACTGTGAGATTAATTCCCCGGCAAATGTATTGTTGCATTCCTTCAGTTACCATAATTTATATCAGTTGAATACTATTCCAAACTCAAGAAATACCCTCCTAGACCTTTTATTTTCGTCTTACAAAGATATTCTAGTATATAATCCAGTCGAATTCATCTTTCACAATAGTGTCCATCACTCAGCTATAACTTTTGATTTCGAAATGGAAACATTACCTGATTTAAAAGTTGAGGAATACTTTTATGACTTTAGAAATAGTGACTACATCCTCATGAATAATTTTCTTGCTAGCATCAAATGGAAAACTTTATTACTTGAAAAAGATATAATTTTATCTATAATGAATTTTTATAATGTACTATATGATGCAATCTATCATTTTGTCCCGATAAAAAAGTTCAAATCCTCAAATTTTCCTAATTGGTTCAGCAAAGACTTGAAGAAAAGCATACTCGATAAGAAAATAGCACATAGAGAATATAAAAGTGGTGATGTAAAAGCATTTCATAGATTTCAATATCTCAGATCTCATTGTAAAACTATGCGAGATGAGTGCTATCGTAGATATATTTCAAAAACCGAAAATAATATGTCAACTAATCCCCGATACTTGTGGAAATATATTAATGATAAGAAGAAACTTTACAATCTCCCTTCCCGTATGGTTTATGATGATATCTCTACTGATAACGCTAATGAAATAGTTAATCTTTTCTCAAATATTTATGACAGCACTACGGTCAATGAAATCCCCAAATTCAAATTTCAAAATGTAGCTTACGTCTGCCACTATAACATAGATATTAAGGAAGTTATAGATTTAGCTTTGAAACTACCATTTAAACTAACAACAGGTCCTGATAAGATACCCTTGCACCTGATTAAAAATTGTATTTATACTCTAGCACTGGCTATTCAATCTTTCTATTGAAAAAGGAATATTCCCAGAATTTTGGAAACAAAGCTGTATCAAACCAGTTCATAAAAGTGGACTTCGTAACAATGTTAAAAACTATAGAGGCATTTGCAATCAGTCAGAGTTGCCCAAAATGCTGGACTGTCTAATCACTAGAAAACTTTCATTCGATTTTAGAAACATCATAATCAATCAACAACATGGTTTTACCAAAGGGAAATCAACTTCTACGAACTTATTACTTTATGAAAACTACATCATAAATAATCTTGAAAATAGGCTACAAGTGGACTCTATATACACAGATTTTTCTAAAGCCTTTGATAGAGTCAATCATAACCTACTGATTGCTAAGTTGAATGCCTTGGGTTTAGAGGGAGATGTTTTAAATTGGATTGAAAGCTACCTTTACAATAGAGTTCAATACGTTAAATATGGCAACTCTATATCTGAACCGATAAATGTGCCATCAGGTGTTCCTCAGGGATCCCACATAGGCCCATTACTGTTCAATTTATTTATCAATGATGTCTCCACTTTTTTTACCTCCAGCTCATTTCTAATGTTTGCAGATGATTTAAAGGTGTTCAAATCAATACAAAATATATCAGATGCTCAGGCACTTCAATGTGATTTGGTACAGTTTTCTAGCTGGTGTGACGTCAACCTTTTGCATTTGAATCCAGATAAGTGTCAAAAAATTACTTTCTCAAGGATCAATAATGTATATGATTACTCGTATAAAATCAACGGGAATGATTTAGCAGTAACGGATAAAATAAAAGATTTAGGTGTCATTTTTGACTCAAAAATGTCATTTAAGTACCAAATAACGGAAGCCTCATCTCGAGCTCGTAAGATGTTAGGTTTTACACTTCGTTCTGCTAGAGACCTAAGTGTTGAATCTATAAAACTGATTTATTGTGCACAAGTAAGATCCATTCTTGAATATAACTCCATTGTATGGTCACCCTATTATAATGTTGATGTTGAGTTGTTAGAGGGGTGTCAAAACAAATTCTTGAGATATGTTGCTTTTCAGTTAGGATTAAATAGAGGAGAGTATAACTACTCACAGATATTGAACATATTGAACATGAACACCTTACTTCATAGGAGACTTGAAACAGATCTTGTGTTTGTCCACAAAGTATTAAACGGCTATATTGATTCTCCACAAATAGTTGAGCTTTGTACTACTCTCTCTGTGAATGATAGAAGAACCAGAAATAGTGATATTTTTAAAATTCCTTTTTGTAGAACCAATTATGGTCAGAATGAAACAATATTTAGGATATTGAAATCAGCAAATCATTACTATCTCATCATTATTATCCTTCAAAAAAACGATTAAAAACATCTGATGTATCTTTAGTTTGTAAGCACATGTACAATTTATAAAAAGATATTTGTAAAAATTGGCTTGTCCGTTGAAATAAATAAATAAATATATATATGTTTCAATTCCATGAGAAGTAACCAATGTTGAATCCAGAATACATCAACATTATGACTAATAAGTAACGAAGAAGTAGGATTGATGAAACAAAAATCTAAAATAGTTAAGGCTTTTGCAGCCAAGTTTTTCAGTGTCTCTATTTTCCGGGTTTGAAGGCCGTGGATTTTTGGATCTTCTTTCTGACGTTTCCCTGGTGCGAGTGATTAACTTCCTTAGAGGTTTATACATAGTGAGTTAATATCTCCGATGACTGGATATATGGCGTGATAATACCTGTACCTGCATTTGGTAAATTGTCAATAACGTTCGTTGACCCTTTTCTACCTGCCATTATGCTGAATGGCATTCCATATTCGATTGAGGTTTACAGCTTCTTTTTCTAATGGTATCTCTGGTCAGGAACGATGAGTTCCGTGTTTTCAAACATAACCCTGTGGTTTCCTTCACTGAGTATGTGTTCTGCCACAGCTGACTTGTCTGTTTAGCATAGTCTGTAGTTTATTTCAGGCTTCCTTAAGCCTTGTTCCCATGGATCTTCTGGTGCTTCCAATGTATACCTTCCCAAAAGTGCACGTTATGCGATAAATTCCTGCTGCTGATAGTGCTGCTTTTGTCTAAAGACAAAAGGGACCCACACAGTAACACAATTTAAAAATGCCATTTTAGATGTTGACTATTATACACCAGAATTTATTAATCAATTTAAAATTGTTTCACGAGTTGGATTCCTCCAATACAGTATTTCTGGATACATTCAATAGTGTTGTTAATGGGAAAATTACTATAATATTAATTTTGTTATAATTATCAACATATTTTCCTTTAACAAACACATTAGTTACTTCTGGTAACAGTTTCTATTTCAACTGACAACTCAACAATGATATAGTGATTGTAGTTAAAAAAAGGTTTCTTGAAAAAATATATTTAAACTGAATCAAAATATCATATTTCATAGCTCAAATATGCTATCAGTTCAAAAAATAAGGCGAATTTTAATTTTTCTCAAAAAATATTTATTTACTCATCAATTTCTATTTTGTTCCCTTCAGAATAGTCCTCCTCAGATATAATACACTTGTCTCACCGTTTTCTTTGATTCTCGAAGCAGTTCTGATATGCCTTTGAGGTCTTTCTGCGATTTGGTTTTTATCCCCTCAATCGTCGCAAAACGCCATCATTTCATGGATCTCTTCAATCTCGGGAATAGACAAAAGTAGCAGACGTGAATACGGCGGCTGAGGCATGATTACGGTGTTGTTTTTGGCCCAAAAAGTTACGAACGAGAAATGGCAAGTGACCAAGTGCATTATCGTGATACAAAAGCCATAAATATTTTTTCCACAATACCGGACTTTTTCTTCGTTTCGCTTCTCGCAAGCGGTGTCTAACTTCAACTTATTGACCGTACGACCGTGTGGCAAGAGCTGATGCACTACGTCACGGTAAACGAAGAAAACAGAGAGAAACACCTTGACATTTGATCGAACTTGGCGTGCTTTTTTTGATTTTGGTTTTGATGTCACAACCATATACCCAGTTATGACCATTTTAAGGCAAATCTGGATCGCCGTTGACGTCATTCAACAATTCTTAAGCAATGCTCATGCGACAGTTTTTTTGGTCAAAATTCAGCAATTTTGAAACGAATTTTGCTGCTGCACGTTTCATGCCCAAAATTTTCGAAAAAATTGTATGGCATGAACCAACCAATATGCTGACACCCAGCAACTTCTCTAATAGTGATTTGACGATTCTCCATAACAATTTTCATCACTATCTTAACATTTTCATTGGTTCTTGATGTGCTTGGGCTTTCAGGGCGAGCGTCGTCATTCACATCTTCTCGACCTTCTATGAAAAGCTTGTATCAGTGGTAAACATTTTTCTCTTAATTCCATTTTTTACACAAAATTTTATGCAAATTTATTGTTAAATTTTTTTTGATAGCAGAAAATCGCCGAACACTTCTAATTTTTATGCCTCTCACCAACAAACTAAACAGTTGAAACAGAACATATGTTCGAGACAAGTGTCCACATAATATATAATATGACTAGTTCAAATTAAATAAGAATTCAATAATTATAACTTCCACAGCAAACCCCCAAATTAGGTTCGGTTCAAAAGTAGATAATATAATGTTCCTCAGTAAACAAAATAATTTAAATTGTGCCAAAAACCTGGTGTTAGACCGTGTTAGACAGTTATTCATTTGAAAAAATGTGTTAGGATTACAACAAATACATACAATAGACAATTTTATTATAGTAAAACTAATATGCAATTTAGATTACATTACTTTTAGTGCTGAACTCATTATTTCCAAACAAAAGAATGAATTCCTAGGTCTCCATTTATAAAATGAAATTTAGGGACTACCACTCTGAATTATGTACATGATTTTCTTTAAATTATATGGCCATTACAAATTCTCTTGACGATTTTTATTTTATTTATTTTTGAAATAGGTTGTCCTATATACAAAAAGCATAGACATGACAATAAATCAGTACCAAGTCATGGAACTTTACTTATATTCTTAGTCCTTCGACATCACAAATCAACAGTTCATTGTTTTATAATAGTAGTAGGCAATAGTAGCACACACTTTCATAGAAATGTGAAAAAACTTCTGCTAGGAATTTCTCAATTATAATATTTTGCTCAAATATTGAAAAGGAAGATATTTTTTAGAAGAGATTGATTTTTGTAAGAAAAAAGAATTTTGGATTTCTGATTCTTCATTATTACACAAAAAAATCTCTTGCATTATATCATTTAAACTTGACAAAATCTGAATTCCCACCTAGAAAACTAACTAGTTTCTATAACGAATGTATTATATCTGAATTTAGAATGCATATTTTTCTATGAATTTTTTTTCAAAACTTGATATATTTTTATAAAATTCAAAGCTGCTTACCAGGTGATATAGGTTGCTTCAAATTTGGCTTGACATGTCCAATTGAAGAGGTTTCATCAATTGTATACTCAGTAACATCATTAAGATCACCTGATGGACTGATCCAAAGACAAGTCATGTTATATACTTTCTGGGCTTGGTTTACAAAAAAAAAGTTATAGATGAGCACAGGTTCCGAATATGGCGACAAAATTCGCATAAAGTTCCTCGAAAGTTGTTCCTTTTGGTCATAATCACTACTGACTAAGAACACTTCCAGGTGATCATTCAATGGAGTTTTCTTTACAACAGATATGTGACTTATAGGTCGAACGGCTATCTCTAGCTGATACATCTCTGAGGTGTTGTAAGTGAATACGTTGAAATTATAGGTATCGTTGAAGTGATAGGTATTCACTTGAAATAGTTTTCCAATTTTTATATCACAAGATTTATCAAGTTTGGAGAACATTTTCGATACTCGTCTTTTAATACTATTTCCTACTGTTAGCAAACCATCGTCAGGTGTAATTCCTGTAAAATAAATGGAAACATTAATGAGTAAAACATAATCTGGAAAAAAATATGAAGACATGTCTTCATGTGGGCAAAAAATATTAATTCATGCAAGTTTCCTCACCGAGAAAATCCTTGCAGATGTTTCTTATTTGTCCAGTAGCAGGACCTTTCTAAAATCAATTGAGTATATCACCTACCGACCTGTTTCAAGATATTGCTCCTTGTTAGCGCAGAAAGATATAACCCAAACAGAAGTGTGTGTGGGACTACATGGCTCAATCGCTGTATGAAATTTCTTATGATAAAAAGATGTGTTAACTAGTAACAGCTTCATCAAATGAACAAAGTCCCAAGAGCGGAGAAGAACCCCATGTGCTAACACTCTAATCCAGTGATGGCGAACCAATGGCACGCGACACAATATTTTGGGCACGTCACCGATCACGAAATTCATTATGAACTAAGAAAAAATGTGTTAAGTAAGTATTTTATGACGATCGAACGCGAATGATCCTACGCTACAGAGTGTTAAAGTTCACTCGTTTGTTTTTGTACTTTCGTGGGTTTCAATTGCTAATGACGCATTGTTTGATTACGCATAACATGAAATTTCCTTGATATAATTGTATTTTAAAGTTTATTCGAGTTATTTTTATGATTTATAACTGATATTTGTTATGGCCAGTTCAGCAAAAAACAAAAAGTGCAAGATAGTAAGAGTATCAGAGAGTTTCAAACTTGGTAGATTGTGTGTGTGTTTTATGTTCTGGAACAGTGATATTTGGAACATCGTCTGTTAAACGGCATTTTGAAACAAATTACAAATTTGTTAGTCAAAAACGCGAAACATATAACGGATCAACAAAAAATTGACATTAACTATGCTTCTTTATATGTCTTGACAAAAGCACTGATGTCACTAAATCTGCACGCTTAGCTGTTTTTGCTCGATATTGTGTAGGAAATGTCATTATGGAAGAATTAATTGCGATAAAATCGTTGCTAATAACTACAAAGGAACAGATATTTGCACGGCAGTTAAAAATTCGCCTGCTGAAAAAAATTGCTTAAAAAATGTTTCTGTAATAACTGTTGGTGCTCCAAGTATGGTGGGTAAAAATATTGGTTTCATAAGTTTATTTCAAACAGGCGTAGGACATTCGATTCTTGAACTTCACTGCATCATTCACCAACAAGCCTTGTGTGCTAAGAGTTGTTTAATATCCCTTAATGATGTAATGACGGTAGTTACAAAAATAGTCAACCTCATCTCGTCACAAACTTGAAACAAGCAAAAATTCGATGCTTTTTTGGGAGAAGTGTATAATTGCTTACTGATAATGTATAATAATGTTCGCTGATTGAGTCGCGGGAACGTATTTGAAAGATTTGTTGATCGCTTGGAAGAAATCAGACTGTTTCTGCAAAATGAGAGAAAAATTGAACAATACCCACAGTTGTTGGACGTTATGTGGCTTTCAAAATTGATGTTTTTACAGACACATGCCAACATTTAAATACATTAAACGTGAAGCTTCAAGGACAAACAAAACAATTATTGTCATGTTAGATCTTATTCGCGCTTTCGAGGATGAATTGCACGTTTTCAGGAACGATATTATCACAAGAAAGAACAAGTAAACCACGATACACTCATAACGGTATGCTACTCGTTAGTTCCAAACGCGTCCAGTTCGCGCAGATGACGTGAATGCGAAGCATATCGGGATTGTAACTTCCTAGACTTGCCTAAATTCAATTTGAATTTCTCACAAGTTCTCTGTTGTGCTGTAAAGTTTAAGAATTATTACGAAATTATTGTCAAGACTGGTTTTCAAACATTTTTAATTAGCTTTTGTCAATTTAGTGTCGTATTCGAAGCTTCAATAATTAAACAAAAATACGAGTGGGTAGGTATATAACTAAGAATGTCTGGTTGTGCGGTTTTTGGTTGTAATAATTACAACAGAGTGACAAAAGGGACCAATATTAGGTATTTTCGATTCCCAAAGAGCAAAGAACTGTATAAACAATGGATTTCAACATGTAGAAGGAAGGACAACATCAATTTGAAAAATGGTGTGTTTTAATTAAAGCAATGATGACACATAATTTATTAGGTATTCCATGGTTTTCAGCAACTATTTGTTCTATTCATTTCCATAAAGATTGTTTCAAAGATTTATCAGTCAAAGAGCAATATGGTAACTTTTTCAACAAAAAACGCCCGTATTTTCAAAACTGATGCTGCGCCCACTCTGAACCTTTTATTTAAGAGAAAGCAAACTGAAGAATCAGAAAGAACAATTCGTTTTGCTAAAAGGAGAAAATCCACTCTTTTACCAGAGCAACAATTGGAAAATTATGAAGGTAGTGTTTCCACATCACTACAATTAAATACTGAAGAGATAAAACAACCTGAACAAACAAACGTAGATAGCACTTGCAGTACTTCAGTTCAGTCGAATGCACAACAAAAAACAGAAAAAGAGAGGTTAGGTTCTTTTATCAATCAAACTTATTGTCACTGTGAATATTGCCTCTAATCGATTTTTCATTCAATCTCAGCCCCGGACTTTTGACCAATGTTATCAATCTCATGCAAAAAATGTCATTTCAATTGAAAGACATTGAAAAGTTGTGTGTTCTTTCCTTCGACGAAATCCATTTATCCAATAGGATTGATATAAATAAAAAAGATGAACAAGTGATAGGCCCACATAAGACTTGCCAAACTGTAATGGCATGAGGGCTCATTAGTAATTGGAAGCAACCAGTGTTTTATGATTTTGATCAGCCAATGAAAAAAGAAATTTTAAACCAAATTATATCTGCACTATTCAATGCCGGTTTCACCGTGGTAGCCATAGTAAGTGAGATAGGTCCTACGAATATGAAATATTTCTCGGAAATGAATATTGCTCACAATAAGGATTGTTCATTCCCACATCCTTGTAATGAATCTATGAGGATTTTTTTGTTTGTCGATGTACCTCATCTAATCAAGTTATTGAGAAATCACTTCATTGATCAAGGATTTTGGTTAAATGGTACATTTATGGATAAATCCTGTTTCGAAAGTCTCCTGGATATATCTACATCAGAGCTTTCTATAGTACATAAAGTCAGCAAGTACCATATCGAATTGAAGGGAACTGAAAGACAAAAAGTTAGGCCAGCAGTGCAACTGTTCTCTAATTCTGTTTCGAAGGCAGTTTCATATTGTGGAAAAAGTGGATTAATGCCATCAGAGTTACCCTGGGAACAAGTATCAGACTTCGTTCAGCTCATTAACAGATGGTTTGACGTTATGAATTCGAAAACGAAAATAAGGGCTAACGAACCATCTAAAAACGCATTTGGTATAAATTTAGAGGATCAGAAAAAAGTACTAGAAAAAACTTCCAATGTGATTAAAACACTACGAGTGGGAAAACATAAATCCTTGACTCGGTTTCAGAAAGGTATACTTTTGAGTAATAGATCAATTGTTGAGCTCTTCCCTTATCTTCAGAAGAGGCACGCCGATGTCCAATATATTCTTACTACGCGACTGAATACGGATATTCTGGAAAACTTCTTTTCTTACATGAGAGGGATGGGGTCATCTAATGATCATCCAAATTCTCTGGATTTCATTTATAGAATGCGTTGGTTCATTTTGGGAAAACACTCAGCATCAGTTTTCACTGAGAACAGGAATACCGAAGAGGATGTTTAATCCAACCTCTAGAACAAACTTCAGAACAACCTGAGTTTGAACAGTTAAACTGCATTACTGCTGATATGTTTGGGAATATATCAACAGGAGCGGAATGTCTGGAAAACTCCCGGGAATTCCAAGATGAAGAAAATTTGATTCCTTATTCCTTTATAAATCCATGTTATGAAAAAGGTCACACTGATGGATCAGATATGTCGCAAGAGGCGTTGTAGTTACTCGGATTGAAAGAAAAAATAAACAATGACTCATTAACTTATATAGCGGGTTATGTGGCTCATAAATTCAAGAAAAAATATAATTTGGGAACGGAAGTTCTTCCAGCTTCTTCCAAAGATTTGGATTGGTTGCAATTCATATCAAGGGGAGGTTTTCTAAGACCCAATAACTCATTCCTTCAAGCAGCACAAATAATGGAAACCAAATTTCAGAGAATGCATGGAAATACATTATCCAGAGAAAAAGGTATCTTCAAAACTTTAACGCAAAGAACCATAGAAAAGATAGAAAACCCAATACCATACGATGCATTACATTGTTTGTGCAGAACAAGGACCTATATAAGATTGCGGGAGATTAACAAACAAATAAGTTTCCATAATTTGAAAAACAGGATGGAAAAAAAATTAATAAGTTCCTAAATCAACGAAAGAAAAGATGAATTACCAAAATAGCTTCTATCTCATTTTGTAGCTCGTTGTCATATGTCTTGTTACTTCAAATAATTAGAATATGGAAAATTTGACCCATGTGCAATTTATCTTTTTTGAAAACAAAAGTACTTCAAAAAATATGTATTTTATTACCTAGCCGATTGAATTTGTCAAAAATATTGTCAAAAGTCGGAAATATCATCACAGTATGTATCACCCTCGGTTTCATCAATAGGGTGAGAAAATGACTCATAATTTTAGTATTCAGTAGACTCAGGAAACAAATATACTTACTTCTGAAAAAATCAACATGTATGTATTTATGCAACAAGACTTATAATTGCATTTTCATGCGAAAATGCCTGGAGATATTCGACCGAATCTCATTCTCCTACTTATGTGAAGTCTAGGGATATTTTTAAAAATTGCAATAATTTTTTTTAGATCGCTTTAGGGAAAAAAAAAGTTGACGGGTGATTATCAAACGAATGTAACTTACAACAAATTTTATTGAATGGTCAAAAATACTGAGTGCGCATATAAGCAAAACTAAAAAAAATATGGCTCTTCTTTGGCACCCCGAAAAAAAATCATAATACAAAAAAAATTGGAATCAGTACAAAGTATGGCCTCTACGCTGGTTTATTACGGCCCTACATCTATCGTGCATCGACAAAATGAGATTGTCAATGTCTTGTTGAGGTACATTTGCCCATTCAGCGCTCTCAATTGAAACGTTGTGTGAATGTTCCCCATATTCGGAGTAATTCTTCGTTGAAGCATGTCCCACACATGCTCGATGGGATTCAGGTCCGGTGATTGTGCTGGCCATGGCAATACATCAACTCCTTCGTTGGTGAGCCAGTCAGTCACTAGACGCGCGACATGTGGACGAGCATTATCGTGCATTAGGTGGAAGTTTTCACCAACAGCACCAGCAAACGGACGGACGATAGGTAGAAGAATGGTGTCGAGGCACTGTCGAGCTGTGAGGGAGCGATTTGGAAAAACGAGATCGGTTCTGCCGCCGATCATGATTCCGCCCCATAGCATTACTGTACCACCTCTGTATGTGTGGACTTCCTGGACGTGTCTCAAACGTTCATTATTTCCAGGTCGTCTCCATAGTCTTACTCGACGAGAATCTGGATGAAATCCAAATCTGGATTCGTCTGTAAACAAAACTGTGGCCCAATCATTTGCATCCCAGTTTTGATGTTCTTGACACCACTCTAATCTTCTACCGCGATTGCCTCTCGACAAAGGTGGACATCTAAGTGGCCTTCTGTTGTGGAGATCTGCTTCATGCAGTCGATTTCTGACAGTATCACGACCAATGGTTACCTGGTGCGTCTGCTGCAACACGTTAACCAACTCAGGTGCTGTGATTGTCGGTTGTCTTCTTGCGGTTAAGACAAAAAATCGGTCTTGAACTGCAGTTGTAGCGCGTCCTCGCCCTGGATGTTGTTCGGCTGGACTGCCAGTTTCACGGAAACGCCGCCACAATCGACTGATAACACTTTGGGAGACCCCCAAACGAAGAGCTACATCATTTTGTCGCATGCCACCTTGAAGAAGCCCTACAGCTCTATTCATCTCAGCCAATGGTAAGTGATGGCGTTCCATGTTAAAGCACAATATTTCCAGTTTAATTGCTGAGCAAGAACTGCATAGAATGTACAAACTCGACACTTTCAGATTATTCATTTTAGCCGAAAACCTACAATTTGTAAAAAACTTGAAAAAAAAATTAGTTACCGTTTTTGAAGGCTTTGTTCAACGCATAGAAATCTACAGGGTGGTCCAATGTACCAATTTAATCGAAATTAAACGACCTCATGCATTTATTTTTATGATATTTAGTATGTTATAAAAATTTCCCTAGACTTTTCCGATATGTGTATTTATTCATCAAGACTAATAATTCCATTTTCATGCGAAAATGCCTGGAGATATTCGACCGAATCTCATTCTCCTTCTAATGAATTGTGCGTTGTCCGTCTCCGTGCTTCGCAGTGACGTCACAAGTCAGGACAGAGCGGACAGAGAGATGCGCGTCGGAATACCGTTATGAGTGTATCGTGAAGTAAACTTGAAAAAATATATCAACGATTCTGATTATTATTCTTGAATTAGGGAACTTTCAGCGAGATTTTCTCATTTCAAATAATTGTCGTAAATACTCAAGTTAATTGTGTACCCTGATGTGATGTCATTTCATAAACTGAACTTTGATTGGTTGGAAATTAAATAATTTGAAATATAGCTGATTGATTTCCAATCTAGTTCAATATGGATTGAAAAATGTATTGAAACAAGGAGAGAGTTGGAATTAACTGAAACAGAAAGAATGACAAGTAATTTAAGTAAAACGGCTAATAACAAAATTCTGGAAACATGGAATGCATTACCAAACACATTTAACTGTACGAAGAAGCTGGCTCATGCCATTGTAACGCTTTCATCTACCTATGCCTGCGAGTCATCATTTTCAGAGTTGAATAACATTAAAAACTGGGTTAGAAACCGTTTGACGGATGAATCCAGTTCAGCATGCATTCTGCTGAAAGTAACATCTTACAACCCTAATATAAGTTATTTGTCATCTAACCTGCAACAACAGAAGTCACACTAATTTTACATTGATTTAAATTACGTGTGTAAAAAACATTGCAAAATGTACCTTTTTTGTAGTAAATAAAGAGTTTTGATAGTATTTATTATTATTATTTTTCAAATAATCAGAAAGTCGAAATTATTTGATGGCACGTCTATGACGTCATTGAACATTCTTTAGAAAAAATGGCACGTTCATGCATAAAGGTTCGCCTACCCTGCTCTTATATGTATATATAGGGCATGTTAAAAATTGTGATTTTCTATTAACCAGGTGTTAGTAGAGTTATAGTGTCAAAAAAAATTGTATTTGGTGAAAACGGTTTCTAAGCCATTATTTTGAAGAGAAACGGCTACTCATGTTACATGTACCAAGAGCACAGTTCTATTTGATTATCTAAAAAAATATACAGGGTTCTATTTTAAATTAAATTTCAATTCCATTGTTGCTTCAACTATACCATTATATCAAATATCAATTTTCTAACCTCACAAAAAGAAAAGCGCTTTATACAAGCACAAAAAATATCTCCAATTGTAGTACTCAAGGGAACAATTTGTATAATGATATCTTTAATTTATTCAGATTAGTACATTAACATATGTGGCCTACCTAAATCCTGATGGTGATAAACATTCTGCCAGTATCCATATAAGTTTTGAACATGTTTAGGAGGTTTGTCCAAACCATATAACCAAAGTTCTAGCTGTAATATAACTTCCTGATTTATAGTTGGCTCGAACTTCCTTGCGAAAAATATTTGTCTTGAAAGAGTGTTCTGAATCCGAGGCCAATCTTCCGGCCTGAAATCGTTGGGACTACATCCACACCAGTCCACAACATGCTTGTACTGACACTTGCAGCCCAGTTTTCGTTTCCAATTAGTGACATGCAGATTATTATCGATGTAGGAATCGCAGAATTTGGAATTTCTAAGTGCGGTGTGAAAGAATGATTCGGCAGGAAGAAGGGTGTAGTTGAAAATTTTCAATAATCCAGATATCAGATCATCTGGTGCAGGGTTAGCAACATATTCGACAAATCTTCTAGACAAAGCAATCCAGTCGCTTCCACCATCTAGTTGTATGCCAGAAGGTAAAACTCGGTCTCCAATTCTCCACATTCTTGTTTCACACTCGACAAAAGTCTTATCTAAACCTTGTTTTTGAATGAATCTTTGTACTTCCCTTCCATGAGATTTAACAAAATTTCGATTTTTGTTCAAAGTTAAAAACTGAAATGACAGAAAAAATTATAAAACTCGCAACTTAAATTGAAATCATTATTTATTAAACATTATTACAAGTTAATTAATTTTGGTTATGTGGAATAATGTCTAGAGTCCAAAATTTCTAAGAAGAAAGATTTTCCATTCTGCTGGTGAAGGTAAAGTGTCTATTCATCACTATTTATTTGTTAAAAGTACCTGTGTTAACTGTGCAACGGTTTTTACTGGAAAATCTGACTCACTAAGATTGAGTACAAAATCCCATTTCCATTCCTTTATGTTGAGTATCTCCCACATACAGTATCTAAGCATTCTGAGAAGTGAAGCACCACCCCAAATGGTTGCAAATCTTTTTCGTGTAAGGCGAACATTAGGCAATTGTTTCTCTAAACTCAACAGTTCCCTAAACAGGTAATCTTGCCTCTGCAATAGAAATAAGCATTAGGTAATAACAAAATTGTAAATGTACTTGTAAATGTAAAAAAATCGACTTACAATATCTACGTGTATATAATAATAATGATCTATATGGTATAATATTTTCAACAGCCTTTTCACTTGTCTTAGTGCTCTTCCATTCAGGGTTAGGAGAAACACAATTTTGGCAGACTCTCTTGTAACATTTGTTGATAAAATATTTGCAGCTTGAGGAACAAACCCTGAAAATTGAAATATAGTTGAATAATTGATGAATGTAGCTGTTACGTGGTAGGAAATCATCATGAAAAATGAAACTTTGGAAAATGTCCTTAGGACGAAACTGCTGTAACGTTAGTTACAAACAGAATTGATAAAAAACATAGAAAGTTTCATTTCTCATTTTCATGATGAAACATAGTTTGTATAAATAATATAAACAGTAATGATGAAATTTGTTGGTTTCATTCATTTGAATGTTGAATTGCGTGAGAATAAATATGTTCGAAGATATGAAATCTGTATAGAAAGCTTGCAAAAAATATCCATATAATTAAAAAAAAAAAATAAAGAAACTATACGCTTTTATACTTGAATAACCTATGCATATACATTTTTAGTGGACTCTTTGTGGGATGACTCACCAAAATAGGTGGAAAGGCTCATGCAAAATTTAGAAAATGGAAACAACCACAGCAAAATAGATTTCTCCTGCACACCTGATCACTGTAATATATATATATATATCACAGACGAAATACATGTGAAACGAATATTTTAAAGTAATTCATTACACTATTTTAGATTTTCTGAAGTGCGATTAAGAAATTCAGTAAACTAGCACAACAGTCAAACACGAGTAACATGATTCTATAATAGAGCGAGATCCTAGTGTATTCCGAAAAGTGACTAGATACTCTTGAGGAAAAATACATTTTTTCTGGCATCTTTCTGTACATATAATCAATGAGAGAATTAAATATAAAATTACTGTCCAATTTGTTCTTGTTAACAGTAAAAGGTTGTTTCAAAAGTTTTGTCCATTTTTATTAGTCTACTTTAAACTATATCTTAGTGAATACTTATTCAATTTAACCAAAATAAGCACCATTTGAATCAGTGAACTTTTGCCAACGTAACAAAATTCATTTCACTTCATTGAAATCCTCAAAAACCTCAATATTCAACAGACTGACCTCCTTGTGAGTTTCGACGTAATGTCTTCATTCACAAATATCCTCGTATCACATTGAACATTCTCGAACCGAAACACCAAATTTTCAAAGGCACCCTCAGCCTCATCAATCACTCTAGTTATGTCCAGCACATACTTCCTCTTCCAAGGTACCATTTACAAACAAGTATGGGCACCACCATGGGTTTTCCTTTTTCACTAGTCCTTGCAAATTTTTTCATTGAAGACTTCAAAACCAAGGCTATTGACACGTTCAACAACAAACCCTCTTGATGATTCAGATACGTAGATGACGTTTTCTTAATATGGCCCCACACCTTAGAAACTCTTCAGTTTCCTTGGTAACCTCAACGACCTCCACCCTAACATAAAATTCAGAATGGAAATTGAAACCAATAACTCCCTTCCATTCTTAGATGTCCTCATCAGAAAATCCAATAACTCCTTCACCCACAAGGTCTACAGGAAATTAACACACATAAACAGATAAAGAGCTGGATCAACTCAAATCAGCTCTCCTTCAAAATGGATTCACAGACCATTAAATTGACAGATCCTTCGGTCGTCAACAAACTTCTTTCTCAGTTCAGTCCCAAAGATGACAATGTTCCCCCACAAAGTTTTTCTTCCCTGCATTAAAGCTGTAAGCGACCTTTCTGCCTGAACAAACGTGATGATGGTCAGAGACTTAAATTACTTACTTCTGATACCTGTTTGATAAACATTGATTTTGTAGTAACCCCCACAGGTGGAATGCTGGTCGCCTGGACATTTCAAATTACAAGAGGAGTCAGGAATTTTTGAACTCAGTGGTGGTTCATCAACTCCACAGAAACACTCATTCCTATAAATCAAAAAGTCATTAAAGAGAAATTGATAGCAAAAGTGTACATTTTTCCACAAGTTATTAGGCAGAGGTCAATATAAACAAAATTTAAATTCTGCTACTTTTGAAGTTACAAGGGTTCGTTCAGTCACTCTAATAACACTAATATATATGAATATATAATGCGAAACGTTTTTTAATACTATTAGAAACAGTTACGATTTTTAAAAAAATGAAGATATTCAAACCTCGATTTTTGTAGATTTGTTCAAATAAAAGAGTACCGAACCGTACAAACAACAATGTGGATGCTATGGAGGTGTTATCTCTTGTAAATTTGTACATAAAGTCACCTATCTTAAGTATTTGCGATAATTTCAATTTAATTCCAAATTTGTGTGATATTAATTTTGATTCCTTAGAATATATTGTTGAAACTGCATGTCAGTTTTTCATGGAGAATTTATATTTTATTTTATTATATTATATTTTTGTTATTCATTTTCTCAAATTGTAACTTTGTAGTTATAAGCACCTACTACTTTTATATCATAGTTAACCCTGTAAATGGTTTTTAACTCTTCGGTAATAAAGGATAATATATTTAGACAAACTGATTTTTTGCCTCAAGCACTCACTTGCAATTTTTACAGGAAAAACAGAGGCGAAGGTTTTGTTAGAAAAGCTGATAGGTTTATAATGGGATGGTTTAACATGAATCTGACGTTGAAGAAACTGTTCGTGACAACGTGAACCTAAAAGGTAGTGAATTGCAGAATTAAGATATAGATAAAGAACCTTTCTCTGACATCAAATAGAGATTAGAAGGAGAATGAAAATGCAAATATAAAAAAATCTAGCTATTTTAAAATCTTGCTGTGAAAATGATTAACAAGTGTAGGTAGGTTAGTAGGTCCAAAGTATCATGCAAGGCTTCCAAGAAAATGTTCTTTAGAAACTACTACTTCCACATGAAGATTGAACTTTACAAAAAATACTTTTCTCATTTAATTTGTTCTCCAAAAATTCATTATGGAACTAAAACAGATAATATCTCCAGGAAAATTGCAAAACGTGATAAATAGAAGAGCCTTGATATAAAATTTCAGTTACATGTAAATATAGCAATCTTAAGGTGTGAATTTCACTAGTTCGGACTTCCATTCTCTATTATATAAAATTATTTGAAATCCCTGTAACAACCAAAAAAGAAGAACTAGAAAAGAATTAAAAATGAATAGCTGAAAATAAAGATTATATTAAGCAAAATAAACCTGAAATGAATAGTAGTGAAATAAAATACAAGTAAAATAGAACAATTGAACAAAAATAAATAAAAATAAAGAAATTTAAAAAGGAAATAAAAATAAAAAGTTGAGATATTCCAAGTCATGTTAGTTCACGACGTTTCAATTGTTATTATCTACAATTGTCTTCGGGTGATGACTGAACTGATTCCTCCGAGAGATGACTATTTATAGGTCGTTCGAGTACTTTCACTTATCCCCCCGCTTTCGATTTTCCTCCTCACTGGTTCCGTGGGAATGGCCGTTTGGCGGGAGTTGGCCATTTTTCGCTTGATGATGGGTTTCCATATGTTGCGTATTTCTACGCTGGCTTGGCTGAAAACGTTGTTGGACAACATGTAAGCGGCTTCCTTGAATTTTCTCCTAAATCAATGTTCCTTTCTGTGCAAGATCTCAGCTTGGGACCACTCGATGTTGTGTTGATGGGTCCAAACATGGTCTGCTATTCCTAATTTGCTGGTTTTCCCTCGCTGTGTGTCTTTCTTGTGCTCGGCAATGCGAACATTCAATTGCCTCTTAGTTTCACCAATATAGGATTTTCCGCACTCACAGGGTATCCGGTAAATGTAATTTTTGGAATCACAGTCCGCGTTTGGTGGCCTGTTTTTGTGAGGCTGCTACGGATAGTGTTACCGGATCTGAAGCAGGTTGTGATGTTGTACTTGGAACCAATTCTTCTTATCCTCTCCGATAATCCTCTGGTGTGGGGAAGTACAAGTACTGATTGTGGCGGCTTCTCTTCCTTGTCGAGCTCTTGCTGTCTTCTAGCTAAAGCCTGTTCTACCATCACTCTGGAGTAACCATTCCGTTGAAGGTGATTTTTAATGATGCCTAGTTCCTAGGATTGGGTCCAAGTATCATGTGGGCTCAAGCTGAAATCATCCACAAAGGGGAACACTGGTTTAGGAGAAAATTCAAAGAAGCCGCGTATATGTTGTCCAACAATGTATTTACTCAAGCTAGCGTAGAGATACACAACATATGGAAACCTCTAATCAAAAGACAAACGACCAACTCCCGCCAAACGGTCATCTCCCGTTAAAACCAATGAAGCGGAGAGAGGGAATAGGTGAAAGCACTCGAATGGCCTATAAATAGTTAGACCTCGGAGGAATAAGTCCAGTTATCACCCGAAGAAGATTGTGAATACTAACAATCAAAACGTCGTGACATAAATTGGTTTGGAATCTTTTAATTTTAATTTTTTCATTTTTGTTAATAATATTTTTAATTTCCAGCTTTTATTAACATTTCAAAATTTTATTTTTTTGATCGTTGCTTGTATGTTATTTCTTTGTGATTACAGTTTTTTGTTTAATGAAAATTGTTATTTTCGGGTAATCTTTTTATTCTTTTTCAGGGATTTCAAATCAATTTATATTATACCTATTAGACAATGGAAGTCCGAACTGATGAAATACACCATGAAACATTGTCAACCACCTTCAAACACCATTGCTATTTATTTTGACTAAAACAAAAATTTTGACATAGTGAATTATAATCTCCTGATAGAAAAATTGTATACCTACAATAGGAATACACAGAGTAGTTGATACATGGATTGCTTCATATTTATCGTATAGAACTCAAACTGTTCACATTTTGAAGAGCTTAATGGTCTTCAAGTGAAGAAGCGAAACATATCGTGATATATTTCTCCAATAAATTTTGTGGAGATCAAATCCTAAGGTGTAGTTTATGAAAATAATATCTATTTTCTATCTCATAACTGATTTTACAAGGAAAAATTGTGATGAACTCACGAATATTGTACCCCTGCATAAGGAAATCCTGATTGTAGACATAGATCAATGCAATATTTTGGAGAATTTTCTCTTTTATTCACACCAAAATAACCACTGAGCAACCTGAAATTCTTTTCATCTTTGAAACATCCCAATTCTTTTCCAGAAATCATACCATCAGAAGGACAAGAGCCTCTCAACTCCTTGGGGTAAAGCCTATTTTCTATAGAAAGGCACGTCATATTTGATATGAGTTGCTTGCAGTACTGAGTCTTTGCTCGATTTATTGCCGAAACAGCTTCTTTTGTAGTAATTTGACAAAGGGGTACAAAATCCAATTCCTCGTATCGTAACAGGTGAGTTTGATTAACCTTACTTTTACTTTTGTTTTTTTGTACCACTGAACTAACCTCCTCGTCGTTATTTTCTGATTTAGACCTTGCAGAATTAAATTCTAGTTCTGTATAAACTTCATGACCAGAACTTAATGGTAACCACTTGTTTTCTTCAGGTTCATTGCTTTTGCTTGTCGATATGAATTTAGCTGCTAAGAAAATTTGGAAGGATAAAATCAGAATTCCGATGATGAAGAATGTTCTGTATCGTCTCATCCATTTACTGTTTTTGATGCTGAGTTTTATCATTTCAATTCACCACTGAATCATTTCTGTTGAAAACAAATTGTTGGCTGCACCATCAATCTTCCGGTAGGTGATGAAATTATGCTCATATTTTTCAATTATAAATTTCTTATTTGTATTATTTTCTTTTTCATATACAAATTAAAACAATTCCGTATTCGCTTTCATTTGTACACTTCTCGTTTAACGATAAATAGTAGTAAATCTAACGTAACCTATCATTTACTCCCTTGGTGTTTTTAATTTTTTTATCTATTCTTCAGCACAATGCTGCCAATTCAATGAAATTTCGAAGGCGCACTAACCTGTATTTAAAATGATCCAAAGTAGTTGATTTAATTCAGTCCATATGACTTAAATATTAATTTTAAAAGTTTGCATTATATTATTGATTGCATTTTACTTTTAAGTGGGTAGTGTGAATATTGGGTTTTTGTAATTGTAAATGAGGAAAATGAAATAGAACATCAATAATTTACTGCACGACATCAGTTTTAAAAATTCTTAATGAATCAGGAAAACGTATGTGGGGAAAGGTAGAATAGTTTCCTAATGAATAATTGATGAATGTGCATGGAAAGTTTGTTGTTGAATGGGTGGATTGAAAGTATACTTACAAACGACAACTCTTAGATTTTTATACTGGAAATTTCGAGTTCAAACTCAAAATTTCGACTTTGATCTCGAAATCACCAGTTTGATCTCGAAATAACGAGTTTGAGGCTATAATGTAACATATTAATGTGCCATTACCTCCATCTCTATACTCTATAGCCACCTCATATTTTTCACAAGCTGTTATTTAACTTGCAATGATGTTAGCATGTATTTTACATACGGCCAAATTTGGAACTGGATTTTGAAACAGTTATCCTCAACCGATTCAGCGAAAATTTCGCATACTCGTTTAGTTTGGATGATCAATTATATTCAACATGGTGGATCGCCCAAGATGACGGACTATTTTAATTATATGGGTAGTAAATAAAATATTTGCCGAAAATAATACGAAAATAACATGACGTCACTTTGAATCCATTAAGGTGGACCGTTCAAGATTGCGAACTAGTTTTTTGTGCACCTCAATGATATCGGTATGAAATCCCGGAATAGTTTTTATGTACTTTTATGATATCGGTATCAAATGAGAATGTTTGTCGAGTAAAATAACGTCATACTAAATTCAATATGGTAGACTCTCAAAGATGGTGGATTATGTTATTATTCACCCCCATGACATGGATATTAAATGAATGACCGTCATACTAATTTTAAACAGTATTAACTCGTGTAGGAGATGACTAATGTTCAGATGACAAATAACCCTGGATCGGTTAAATGAGGGCAGTTGAAGTTAGGCATTTGTTGAAGTGCACACGTATTGTGAATTAATGTTTATGGTGGGATGAGAATATAAATATTGTACTCTGGGATTTCATGTTGATGGTATCTGACAAAGACAGCGAAGGGATATAATCTAAATACGTCCTTCGTAATACTGTATAAATTTTTAAAATAACAATAGGTAAAAAAAAACGTAAAGACAAGAAAAAATCGTTTTCGGGAAAACGGCGCGCCGGCGTATTTTCTCAAGTACCTAATGCTAATAGTGATAGTGATGGTTCCACGAAACGGGAATTGAAAATATTGAAAGCTGAATTAATGGGAAGGGAAATCAGCGAAGGACGTGTGACATCAGGAAAAGCTAAAATAGATATAATTTCAAAAATGTTGCCGTCGAACAATGTTTAAAGCAAGTGAGAAAATTCATTGGTTTGATAAGTTATTTTCGGAAGTTTTGAAGGGATTTTCTAATATTATTGAACCAATTACCAGACTGACCAGAAAATATATGAAATTTGAGTGGAGTGAACCCCAACAAAATGCCTTTGATGAAATTAAAAGAATTCTGACGTCATCGCCTGCATTGACTATATATAACCCGGATTTGCCAACGTAGCTTCACACGGATGCAAGTTCAGTTGGAATGGGTGCCATGCTTATATAATTTAATCAAAAAGGACAGTCACACGTGGTTTCTTATTTTAATGAACAGACCACAATGGACCAACGACAAATCACTCATATGCACTGGAAACAATGGCTATTGTTTATGCATCAAGATCTCTGTATCTGTATCTGTAGAGTAGGGAGGGTGAGTGTAAGCCCACAGCAATTAGGCCACATGTGACCCATTGTACATCCTCCCGAGGAGTTGTCCTCCTAGGTCATCGTCCATTCTGTCCTTTCCAGGAAGGTGGACAGGTCACTGGGAGACATCTCCTTTATATCGGCAGGTGCGTAGGCCAAGACTCGCCGAACACACACTCTCTTATTGACGATAACTCCGGGCACTCGCACAGGATATGCCTGACAGTCTCTTCTTCCTGTTCACACATCCTGCATAGAGGTGTGTCCACTAGCTTCATATTATGGAGGTGTTTCCTTAGTGGACAGTGGCCAGTCAGAAATCCGACTGTTAAGCGTAGATTTTTCATGGTCATCGCCAGATATTTCTTCGGCGCCAGCTTCCCAGGGTCGCCCAAGGTGATCCTGGCAAGATTACATCCTTTGATTCCATCCCATCTCTTTAAGGATTGAGCATGGGTGTAACATTTGACTAGTTCCGCAATTGTCGAAGTCATCAGGTGCCACTGGGTCCTAAAATTCTTACTCCAGCCGCTTCCTTGGCTAAAGAGTCGACAATGCGATTACCTTTTCTCCTGTCGTGTCCTTTAACTCACCTCAGGATAATGTTATTATCTACCGAGGCTTTGGCTAAATCTTGGTGACACTCTAGTACTAGCCCTGAGGTTATACGTTGTCTGTTCAAGGCTAATAGGGCTTGTCTGCTGTCAGCGCAGATTGTTATGTTTTTGCCAGAAATTCCTTTCTTGGTTATTTTTTGTGGCGATTGAGATACCAGCCAGTTTTGTTTGGACCACGCTGTTTAGTTTCATTGAAACTATGTATTTTACAATTTTAATGAACTATAACATGGAAATGATTATGTTTTGAAGAATGAGAAAATTCTTTGTCACTGAAAGGGCTCCCAGCTGACAGAATGAATTTAAATTATATTTTTGCCTCAGTCTTTGTTGAATTTTTAATTTTTGTAGTAATGGGTTCACGTAAACAGTTTTTCTACTGGAAAATAATGAAATGTAGGAATATTCGGAAATTACAGCAAGTGACAACAATATTGTTCAAGAGAGATGTTTGCAAACATTCCTTTACCATTGATTTTGTAGATTTCTTCAGAAATTTTGGATCTTGTTTCTTCAAAAATTAGTGTGATTCACAAAATATAAAAACTATTTTAAAATATGTTCGAAAATATTTCCGTTAACTTTCAAGCATTCATTAACTCTATTTATCAAATTGTTATTTACAGCGCGACTGATTTCATCGACATCTAGGGCGTGAATGCTTGTAAAACTTTTTTAACCATATTCTTGCAGGATCTGTTGTTGCAGGATCTGTATATACAATATTTTTCAATATGTCCTTATACATGATGGTCCATACGGGACAAATCACGGGAACTTGCTGCCCAAAGGTACGGCTATCCGACGCGACGGTCATCACGCTGTAGTTTGTACAGCTCTCAGTGACATTCAAACTTTATGGTAGGTAGATACTGATCGTGCAGAGAAATCTGTCAAATTTCACTTCCGCTCAGTTGCGGCTCATTAAAATAAGAATTTTGGCAAACAGGATCGAATGCCTTCAAAATATCGAGCGCAATATCTTGCGCTCTCTATATACAATATTTTTCAATATGTCCTTATACATGATAGTCCATACGGGACAAATCACGGGAACTTGCTGCCCAAAGGTACGGCTATCCGACGCGACGGTCAGCACGCTGTAGTTTGTACAGCTCTCAGTGACATTCAAACTTTATGGTAGGTAGATACCGATCGTGCAGAGAAATCTGTCAAATTTCACTACCGCTTAGTTGCGGCTCATTAAAATAAGACTTTTGGCAAAGAGGATCGAATGCCTTCAAAATATCGAGCGCAATATCTTGAGAATATCCGTGTTTCGTGATTGAATTATTCCAAAGGTAGATCTGAAAGAATAAGGTAGTCTGTTGATCTTTGCGTCCGATAAAGAAGTGAGATTACAGGAACTTTTTCCAGAAACTATGTTATTGTTGAGCTGTGTTAGATAACGCATAATAATATGCTGTTGAGAAGTAATCGCTGGTATTACTATTACTTTCGTTGTTATTGAGCTGCATAACTGTATTAGTTATGAGAGAATTATTGACTCAAAACTTCAAGTTATTTGACTGAAATTGGAAACTGAGGCATTACCTCATTTCTTCCTCATTTATCCTTTGTGATGCCAATTTTTCGATTGAAACTATTTGAAAATTTGACATCCTTTTCGTAACGTAATCTCGGCAGATGACCTTTATTTTCAAGATTTATATTGTCCTGTGTGCTGTTGTCTAATTTGTGGAGAATTTTTTCTGATCTATCGATTTTCGAAATTTTCTCAGTTTGTTCCAGTCGCCTAAAAAGCTAGGCAACGGTATTCTGCGAAGAAACTGGGCACATCGCAAGAATCTGTACTGGAATAGAAGAAATTTGGACACTAGAAGCCTACCATTCTGAAGGCTTTGGCTTATGGTTTAAAATCTCGACTTGAATATTTTATTAATAGTTTTCTTCAACTTGGTCAGTAGCTCGAGGCTAGAAGTTTCTGCACTCATCTACTACTCTGAAAATTATCTCGGCTGGTTAGTTGATGGAAATATTTATTGTAATGAAAACTACTGCGGAGTTGAGAAAGTTTTTGTCAACCATTTGGCATTATTGAAACAAAACATACAACTTCAGATGCATGTATATTGGCAGAAAGACAATTCTTTTTCTTTTCTTTCTGTTTTAGGTACGCGATGAAATTCCTCTTTATTGAAATTTCAATGAATTTTCAGAGTGAGGTTATTGAAAAAAATGCTGTTATAATGTATGAACAGTGATATAAATGATATGTGGAATAAAAGAAACTTTTTATACAATCGCGTTTTAAAGAACAAATACTTCTGTTTCAAAGAGAGGGATCGATTATGAGCTCAATGACTATTAGCAGAGCGATTCTAAGACTATACCACACTGAAGTTCAGTCTTCCACAGGGTTGGCAAGAGGTTAAAACAAGAAATTTTTCAGTTCTTTATGAACCTTCGTAAATCAAATCATGTGTTATTCACAAAGCACAAAATTTTTTTTGCAACAACAGGCCATAATTTTTGTGCAGGTTCTAG